TAGAAATGTTTGGATTAAGTTTGAATAATTGGAAGAGTTATAATTTTCGTGGAACATATGGACCTTAAATCTTCCTGTTTTCAAAATTTATATATGGAGTTATAGAACTTCAAATTGAGTGGAGTTTGTTGCAAATTAAAGGCCTACATGTCAAGTTTAACATATAAAAATTTCAGAGAAAATGGATGTAAAATGATTTTTTTCGTGTATTTTATAGTGTAGACTGTACATGTTATGAAAATTCAGCTTTATTGACTGTTTTGTATAATTAAATGATGTTTGGTGTTATTGGTTTGTATTAAGGTTAAATGGCACTTAAAGTTACAAGTATTAAGCTTAAAAAAAATGTGAATTTATGTGACATATAGGTTTGGCCACTTAGTGGTTCATTGGATTAAAAATTGAGTTGTTTAATGACGGAAATTGCAAATGAATTTGAAGTAGGTTTCAAGTAAAATTAGTATGATGAACCTTTAATTGGTAATATGATGAAGTAGATTTTATATTACGTAAACATAGGTCAATATATGGGTATTTAAGTATGACTTGTGGAATGGCATGAAATTAGCAAATATAGTTAGTAAACAAGTATTGTAATATGTATAAGGTAATAAGGTGATTCCAAGTCAGGATTATGTGAATTTTGCAAAAATTATTTATATACCAAGTAAGCGTGATATAAAAGCACTGACACGTAAGCTCTTGGTTAGGAGTTTTCCTCCGTCTTTGTTATTCCACCAAAGTCCATTAAGGATGATGGTTAAATTGTGTAAATGATTGACAGTGAGTTGGTATATATGCATATATGTGCATTCATATAGACAGATACATTGATGATGTGTTTAATTTATGTACATTGATATTGTGATGTGATATAACATAAGTAAGCAAATAAAAGACGGATAGCAGAAGTACATATCTTCCGTAGTAAAACTGTAAAGACGGATAACAGAAGTATAAATCTTCCGCAGTATTAATATTATTAGAAAATCAAGACCATAAATGTGATTGAGTAATTGAGACGTAGAAAGGTGATTGAGTAATCAAGACGTAAAAATATGTTCCTAGCTATATAATATATTATTATTAAATTATATAAAAAGCAGAGAAGAATAAATCTTCTGTATTATAAAAAGTAGGGAAGTAAAATCTTTCGTATTATATAAAGGCAGGGAAGAATAAATCTTGCGTATTACAAACAGCAGGAAAGTATAAATCTTCCTTATTATCATAAAGCAGGGAAGTATAAATCTTCCATAATATAAGCAGTGGGATATAGGGGAGTATAAAGTCTTCTGAAACAAGTCAGTGAAATACAGACAGTGAAATAAAAGTGAGATACAGACAGTGCGATAAAGTCAGCGAGATACAATTAGTGAGATAAAGTCAGCGAGGTATACTCAGTAGGATATACTAATAAAATTACATGTATTATTATATGCTTTATATCTGACTTTTCATGCAGAGAGTGAACTCTTGGGTGGAGACTACTCCATAAACCCATAGTCTTATTAGAATTTATTTCTCACCCCGTCGTGGGGCTGTAATTTAAATTACAGGTACATCAAAAAGCAGGAGAACTCACAAAGGGAAAAAGACCATTCAGTGAGGATAACGTTATTGAAGACAGTGGGTGATATTATATCACTAATAGATTTGAACCCATGTATAAAGCAGAGGAGGTAGATGATCAGAATTATCACTGTGTAATTAAAAATATTAAAAAACAGACTTACTTGTCAGTGGCAGAATGATGAAACAGACAGAATGAAAGGATGAATATATGCAGTATCAGAGGAATTAAATCCGAGCCCACAGAACGTGTCTCCTTAAGACAATTTGCCCCCTCACTGATGCCTAAGGTTGATGGACACTTGTCTCCCAGGATAGAACAGATTTCGTTTGAAGAATGGTGGCACTACCAATCAACAGCCCAAACGAACACAACAATATGCCAGAGGAAGTCACACCGGAGGATGAACAACAGTATGCAAAACCGGAAGAAGAGAAATTCCGGCAGAGTTTAAGTGCAGAAAAAACTGGATAGATTTCTGAAGGTGTCAGTGTCTATTTATAGACACTGACCGATCACGATGAACAGTCGCCGGCGGCGAACCGCCGTGTCTGATGGCGGCGAACGGGTGCGACCGGTGACTGTTCCGACGAACAGATACGACCGGTGACCGGTTCAGCGAGCAGACACAACCGGTTACTGGTTCACGAAGGGAAAGAACCGGTTCGGTTCAATACTGCTCAAAAAATCCGGCGGGTAGAAACGTTTTGGTTGGAGGGAAGCAACGGTAAATGTTTTTGGACAAAATATTAAAAAATAATTTAATAAAAAATTATTTTTTATTACATACTATGAACCGAACCGAACCGAACCGAACCGATTCGAGCCGAGCCGAGCCGGACAGACGGCGGCGCGTGTGTGTGGTGAACTAATGCTCACCTAGCTCTTCCCCCTACATAAAACATGTAGTGACCCAAGGGCCAATCTAAGAGAGGGAAGTGGGAGCTTATATACTCTCCCATTTCCTACTAATTGTCCAATGTGGGACTTGTTGAAACCCACACACCTCTTCATCTTCCCTTTTTTCTCTTTTCTTTATTAACCTACTTCTTATTCATAACCAATGGATCATTGTTCATTAATTCATTCATTAATTCCAACAGATAGAGAAATTTGTACAGGTATGAGACTGTACAGATAATTAAAATTAATAGTAGAAGTTAATTGAAAAGAAAAAGTTATTCAGAAAAACTATATCGGGTAATTAAAAATTTTATTAAGTCTTCCGTTATTTTAATCCAGTTGTACGAATAGTATGACCATATGTAGTTAACAATCTGATTATTAAATTGGGGCGTTACAATTAACATCCTTTATAAAATCATATCTGGAGTACATCGTGATTGGTATATTAGATAATGCAGAAGTTTATATTGATAAGATGTAGAACACACATACACAAATGAAGAAATGCAGCCAAAACAAAATATGCAGCAACAAATTCCGTATTTATACACGAATTGAATTTAAACTCATTGTTATTATGGTTTTTCTTGATTGTAGCGAAATTAATAGGCTCAACACTTTCCAACGTAGAAAGTAGTGAGATTGTATATTTGTAATAAATGATGAATTGTTTTCCCAGACATAAAATTAAAATTTCAAAATTTGAATTTGAATTATAATGAATGACAGAACGACACGTCAGCGAACTTGAAGTTTAGATTCGAAAACAAAAAAAAATAAAAAAGTATATATTTAAATAGTGGTTTCAAGTGTGAACACAAAATTGAAATGGAAGGAGAGAGCAACACGTCAGCTTTTTTGGTTTTACTTTAAGATATTAATGATAATTTCATTTTTTTAAGTCATTTTTGCGTATTAAAGCTTCCTTAAGGTTTAATTAATAGGTTTGGCAATTACCAATATAAGAATTAGTGGGATTTTAATTGAGTTGTTTGTCACCAAAGAAGTTTAAATTTCTAAAGTTACTAAAATAGGAAATATTTCAAATTGATTTAGGTGTGAACAAAAACTTGAAATTAAAGGAGAGTGTTGCACGTCCTCAAAATTTTCAAGAAATGGTTTTCCTTTAGATATATTATGGGTTTTATGTTTATCATGTAACATGATATAACATCACTTTCCTACACACACATTAAAGAGGTGGGGTCCACATATTTTTCTTTCTCTTTCATCATTCCACTTTCTCTCTCCATTTTTGTGTGTGTTGGAAACAACACTTAAATCATGTAACATACCACTAATAAAACCTATATATTATATGTTCATATACTTCTTAACACCGAGCTGGAAATTCCAAAAAAATTTAGCTGAACCAAGTGTCCTTCTTGTGCTCATGTTGCATCAATAATTGCCAAAGTTCCCATAATAATAATAATAATAATAAATAATGAGGAAGGATCCGTTTACAAAAAAAATTTAATTTTTTTTACAAATTACATTATCTTCTCCCGGAAGAACATAGTGTAACCAGTGTTCTCCCGAGAGAAAATAATATAATTTGTAAGAGTTTGTAAATATAACCTGTTATATAGGTAGTAATTGATGTTCTTTATTTTGTTGAATTTCCTGAATCTGACTGGTCCCCAGTTGAGAAGTTGTGGAGATTGAATCAAAAGGTGATTTGGGGACACCGATGCTTGTTGTATGTCATCATGTTGAGACAACGAAAAAGAATGGTTCTTCCACATCTTAAGCATCTAATTGTGAAACTCAGCTGTTATTTTTCCATTATATTATACACAGTACTAGTAAACTAATAGATATTTGTACTACTGACAACAATCAAAATTAAACCATTGGATAGATATATTAAACTTTTAATATTCAAAAAGGAAAATATACAATTCAACTTGTCCCCAAGGAGATTGAAAGCAAGAAATATAAAACATTTTATGATGAACAGTAGCCTTAAAATAATTTACCTTTCAAAAGAGCCTCAAGACTACAGATTTTTATAGTAATGAAAAGAAATCCTAGTGAATCAAAACTAATAAGGTAATCAAAATTAATCTTGTTACATTGTTATTATTGACAAATGTGAAGAAGAATACAATAATATCGATGATGAGATTAGTCCTAGAGAAACCCATCAACTTTACACACTAACTCACATGGCAAACAAGAACACAATTTCCATGTTGCACCCTCACCCTGTCACTAAAAAAATCAAAAATTAAAAAAGAAAAAAAAAATTCAAGACCCAGATCTCATAAGTCAAGATTTCTTTCCAAGAAAAATGAAAATCCCAACACATTCAAAAATCAAGAAAATCAATAATTTTCTGTCCCAAAAAAGAAAAAAGGAAAAAGGATTATTACAAAAAAAAAAAAAACAAAGGAAAAAGAAAAATTATATTCCCCAAAACATTTCCTTTCTTTTTCTTTTCTTTTTTTTTTGGTTAAATTCTGCTCCAATATTATGTACCAGAAAATTCCCCCTAAAATAAATAAAATTACAACACTCAACGATGAACCGGAAGTCCAGACCGGAGCAAGAAAACGCTGAGTTCCTGACCGGGGCACTCGTCCGGGTTAATGAGGTGAAACGACTCGGAGTCCGCATTGCCTACCACGTGTTCGAAGTTAGCCCGCATGTACATGAGCTCCTCCGAACCGGAACCGGAGGATCCGAACCCGGAGGGAATGACTCCGGCTCCGACGGTGACGCACTGCATGGTCCTGAGGATGGACCGGACCCGTTCGCCGGTCCGGCGACGTGCGGCGAACCCGGTTTTTCGGCCGTTGCAGAAGGCTGTCCAGACGGGAATGGACCGGAGGGGGCATGAGGAAACGTCAGAGCGCGTGGGGGAACACTCGAGTGCGATGCGGACGAGGCCGTTACGCATTTCACGGACGAGGTTGTTGGTGGAGAGTGGTAGTTCCAAGAGGAGGATTGGCTTCGTGGAGAGGCGGTCGTGCTGGATGCAGAACCACACATGGCCGCGGCGGTTTCCGAAGATGGTTCCGATGACCATCGACTTTGAGGGGCGCGGGGGAGCCGCGGTGGCGCCGGAGGTGGTGGACGTGGAGGATGAGGAAGATGGGGAGTGGTGTTGGGTGGTTGTATTGGTGGTGGTGTTGTGGCGGAGGGAGGTGCTGATGCGTTTCTTGGTTGTGGTGGGGTGGTGGTTGGAGGAAGCGAGGGGTTTCTTGGTTATGGTGGTGGTGGGTGTGGTGGTAGGGAAGAAACAAGGGAGAAAGAATCGACGGAGGGTGTCGATGGTCATGGTTGGTTGGATGGTGGTGGAAGGAATGATTTTCTTGAAGTGTGAGTGTTGGTGAGCATGTGCATGGTGGTAAGGTCTGTGCATGTGGCTATATATATGGAAAAATATGTGCTATTTAAATTAAAAGGACATACACTTTATTTTAGAAGTGAGGTAAAGATAAATAAGTGAATCTGATAGTTTATTTTAGAAATTTATTGAAATATAATCGGATAGTCAATTTTGTATTAAGGGTGTTTTTCGAGTATACCGAATCAACGAAATTTCACAATCAGTGGTGGGGATCAAGTACTCGAGAATTTCTTTCCTCTTTCTTTAATAATTGATTGATGAATCCAAAATTTTCAGTTGTATTTTTCAAGTGGTATTTTTTCTTATCGTACTATATTTTTGTATCAAAAATAGAAACTTAAGAAACTATGAAACAATGAAAGAATTGCAAAATGTAATTACTTACAAAACAATGAAATCTCTAGCTCTATCATGATGCAAACATACTTCTTTTTTTAGGTGGTCACAAATGGGCTTTTGCAAATGACTCTAGGGGGCGTTTGGTACGCGGAATTTTGAGGGATTCTCGGGAAACTGAATTCTTTTAAATTTTAAATTTTCAGATATTATCGTAAACTGAATGCAAAAATTATATTTTTGAAAATCGAGATTCCCGGACAAATAAAAATTTCTCCTGTACCAAACGCCTCCTAGAGGAGTGTTTGGTATAGGATTTATTTTGGGTTGGATGTGAAAGTGTGGGTAATTATTGGTGTATACTATGTTTGGTATAAATTATTGAAAAAAAATACTAGGCAATTTAAAAGGGTAGAAAACATGATTTGTGTTGGTTTTGGCACAATAACACTATTTCAAAATACACAATGAGATATGGTATTTTAGATATGGACAGGAAAGTGAAAAATAGTGTAATGAATTTTTTTTACAATAACACTGTTGCAAATATTTCCCCAGTAATATTACGGTCATCCAAACATCTTTTTTTAAATTTTTCTATTAAACTTGTTTTCCTACTATTTATTTAGTAATTGTATTTTCCTGATAAAAAAATTTTCTCTTCCACCAAACGCCCCGTAAACGAGAAGAGTGTGGAATTAGGCTGCTATGATTGATGATCCATTTTCTTCTTCTTCTGCTTCATTTTTACTCTGTCTTTGGAGCACCTCGCTGTATAAATAACGACGAGCGAAGAATTGAAAGTACAATAAATTCAACACTCCAAGAACCAAAATGGTGTAGTAGAAGTACTCAAGCCTATTCTTATTCAAGTCATTGCCCCCTAACCACGGTGTTCTGCCATGTCTCGTTGTTACTACCACTATGATCCTTATAAGAATGGTGCTCAAGTAATTGGCAATGGATAAACTGAGAAAAAACACAGCCCCTCCTAATGTTTTCATGCTCTCAGGCCAGTATGAGGTCAGTAACTCCATCATGGGAATTGCAGCAAAGGCTTCAACCAACCCAGATAAAGCAAACTGTGGCACAAGCCACCAAATGCTTGTTGGTGATTCAAATGAGTCATGTTTCATTGCATCGCCGCGGCGGCGCACCTCTACTAGGCCGGAAACCGCCATGCCGGCAATGGAGAGCAGGATTCCAATCAACATTCTTTGTTCAATTGACAACCTCTTACCCTTTTTGGTTGTTTTCTTAGTCCAAGGGACATAGATTTTCTCATAAAGGTAAATCCATAAGGAAAGAGCAATCATGGGTACTAGACCCATCCAAGCTGGTGGAACACTGAAATGGGGTCCAATCGATTTGTTTGTTTGCAATGCCTGAAGTATACCAAAGGAGTTTGCTTGTCCCATAGAGAGGAAGCATACAATTCCTGCTAACCAAACAGGTAATGTATTTAATATGGATTTCAATTCTTCTACTTGTTGCACACTGCATAACCTCCAACTATCAATGGATTTTCCACTGTTGTCAATTTCACTTGGGTTTGTAATCACAGAAGCTTTATCAAAGAAACTGAACCTATTGGTGTGAGCAAGCTTTGTTATCCTTGGTTCTGACTCAGAACTAGGTGGTGGATAATAAAATAAGAGTCCAGAATCTTTCTTCAAATCAACATGGCGTTTCCTATATGCAGCAACAATTACTTTGACCAAGTCACACATGATGCTTCCTTTGGGCTTCAAGCAAACATAAGTGTTGTGTCCCAGTAGGAAAATGGTTAGAGAGAAGGCAAAGCACACAGTGGGAATGATAAAACCCAGAAACCAGCTTATATTTGTCTGAATGTACACTACTAAAGTAAGAGCAACCAAAAGGGCAACTGTGAACAAAAAGTACCACCAATTACAGAAGCTCTCTAATTGAGCTCTCCCTTTTTCTGTTTTGGTATCAAATTGATCAGCTCCAAAGGCAATGTTGCAGGGTCTTAGGCCTCCAGAGCCTACTGCAAACAATCCAAGCCCCACATACAAAACAGCAAGCTGTGTGCCATTGGGTTGTGTGCAATCAGAATGAGTAGGGCAGCTTGGAGGTCTTAAAGATGGTATACCAGCACCTAGAGATATGAATCCCATACCCTGTCAAATTGAAGGCCATGTCTTCAATTGTTCATTGATGAGAAGAAACATTAAAGTAGAGAGCACAATACAGAAATTGAAAGTGCTTCTATTTATGCAAGTACTAATCATGCCCTATGCTCTATTTATGTATATTAGCTTAAACTTTAAGCAGAATAGCATTAAGAAATTAAAATCTTAAATGTTTATAAGCAAATTCACATGGCATCATGTGTTTCTGTAAAGCAATCCATGTAAACAAACTAATTCAACCAAACTTTTCAAGCTTAAGCAGGTAAGTGACGTCTGTATGAATAATTTTATATTATATCTAACACATCCTCTCATGTAAGAATCTTTGGGCAAACTCTAAACCACACGTTGTCATAAATTCTGATACCATATAAAGTAACCAATTCAATCCAATAACTTAAGCCTGTAAAGAAAGTCCTGCTTAATGATTTTATATTAATATCTCTAACATGTTTGATTCAAAAAAGCAAAAAAATGAATTGCAACATTTGGGATTATTTGCATGTCTTTACCAGAAATGATGCCACACTGCTAACCAAGAGCGTATTAAACTTTCCCACATAAGCATCAGCTACGTAAGCACCAACTAATGGCAGAAAATTTGTGAAACCGGACCATAGGTTGAACACCTCTGCTGAAACTGAAGTGTCTATGTTGTATTGGGTATGCAGGTACACCACTAAGTTGGCTATCAAACTCATAGAAGCCAACTTCTCGAATGTCTCGTTCCCTTCAACACATAAACACAAAATTTAGATTCATCAATTTCATTAAAATCCTTGCATAATTAATAATAATATCAAAAGGAACAATGCAATGGTAATTGAAGGCTTTACCAAGAATATATCTGACTGCTCTCCATCCTCCCTGCTTCTTTTTGGTGGAAGAAGATTGAGGAAGGTTTACTGAAGAATCTTGGCCTTCTGAAGAATAATTCTCATTCACCATCTCTTCCACCAACAATTATATTTGGTTATTAAACATTCGTAAAACTTTGGTGCAAAAGTGTTTTTGCACGCAAAAAAAAAAAAGTTGGTATTGTCTAAATCACATGTATAAAGGCCATTAAGGGTTTAGATACATTCTAAAATCTAAAATTTGGACAGACAGATAGATCCCTAAATAGGTAACTAAGTACGGAGGTTTTCTGTTTTCATGCATACTGTTGTGCTGAAAAATGGAATTTTTAGAATTATGGTAGAAAGTAAATCCCTAAATAGGTATGTATGTTTGATTGTGTTCTGTTGTCTTGTTCTTAAAACTGTTTTGTAAAATAATTTTTAAGAATTGATTTTCAGAATAAAAGAAAAAAAAATTATTTGGTACACTTGTTTTGAAAAGAATTTTAAAAGTTAAATAGGAAAGCATGGACAAAGTAGAAAATAGACAGATCACACATACCAATTGAATAAAGGACGGAAAAGAAGAAAATCTATTAAGATTTCAAGTCAAAAATAATAACAAAAAAAGCCTTTACAGCAAACACACATGCACGCCATAGAACCACCAATATCCCCAAAATTAAATACATATGGACATAAAAGAAAAATTCATGCTTGCCAAAAGAATATTTAGAAAAACAATAAATAGATTGATAAATACTCGAAACTTAGAAAACGGTACCACTCAATTTTCCAGTTTTTGCATATGGTCTTTTACATTTTTCCCGAACTGCAGAATCAAGTTATAATAGACCTGAAATCGGTTGTATCAATTATCAACGTTACAATGCTCCTAAGTATTTGCAAAATAATCCTTCTCATTCTCTAACACCATGTAATTACAAAACTCTCTTTAGAGGCAGTTAAACACCATGGATGGTGGCCAATTCCTCACCCTTCTCCATGCTACTTCATGATCTTCCTTGATAAAACTCAGACCATATTTTTACATCGTCGTAATCATTTTAGCTCTGATATAATAATAAACAATAATCTCGTCTAAAAAGCTTGAGCTGATAAGTTATGGCTTATCAATAATTTTTATATTTCTCGGTAGAATTAAATCTTAATTTAGGATGATTAAATCTTAATTTTGTTAACGTTGACCTTAATTGATTATTAATTCTATTTTATTTTAGTTGATTTTTAAACTCATTTTTTATTGTTTTTATTTTCAGTATATTTTTCAATTGTTTCATTCCCAATCAAATCATAAATACGTACAAATACTAAATTTATATGAATCATTTCAATGTATTATCTTATTTTATTTTATTTCTTATTTCTTATTATTAAAATTAAAGTTATGTTATCAAAAAAAAAAATTAAAGTTAAAATCGAATTGGAAAATATATATAAGAAAGGAGTTCTATTGTACGACAAATCAATTTTGAATAGGAATAAGATTTAATAAAATAATATAACAAATACAATGGCACATGACACATGACACATGTTTAACAAAACTAAAAAATATAAAAAAGCATTTCATGGCTATCTTTAAATGGAATAACATTTTATAACTCGAACTTGAATTTATGCTAATAGGTGCAGCAGGGAAACAGAGGAATGAAGCCATGAGAATCCTGTTTTCCTTTGTGCTGTCATGTTATCTAACACGTTTGCCAAGAATACTGGGGTCAAGCCCACAATAACTATCCCTAATCATTGCGAGATAGCTGAAGTCCCATGTGTTTACAACTGTGGAGGTTTGTGGTGCACAATTGCAATTCATCCATTTACATTTGCTTATTAAAGAACACAAGGGAAAGGTAAGCCATTATGTTTTATTTCTTTTTTTACCCTTTCGAAACACTCAATTTGTGCATCTAATTATACTTACGAATTCTCTCTGTAAAAATGCTCTTTCATGTTGCAATTTATACTCTTTGTGAAGGGTTGTTTGATGTGATATATAAGACATGATAATATAATAATATAAGTTTATATTATATGTTATAACAATTTTAGTTTTTTGATGTGATCATCACATAGTATAAGCTTATATAGCAGAATTCCTTAATTAATCAAAACGATGTATAACTTAATCAGGTCTAAGGGGGTCAGATTAAGCCTGATAAGGGGTTAATATATTAACATTGCTGACTAGTGTAATTATCAAGAATTAATATATTATTTTAATATTAAAATAAAATTTAATTTTTGAATATATTAATTTTTAAAATATTGAAGATTTTATTTTAATAAAAAATAATATATATTTTTGGACACACTGATCAATAGATTTTTATCAAAATTAATATCATATGACATTTGGAAGAATTATATAAATTCTTTATTAAAAGGTATTTTATCAAAAATATTTATTTTTATCCTATCTAGTATTACAAGGTGTATTACCAAACATTGGATGGTACTATCTTATACAATATCATGTCAAATGCTGGCTAGTATTAAATTGTAATCAGATCTTATACAATCAAACCTTATATTATCATCAGGTCTTATCATATACTGTGCACTAAACATGTCGTTGAAGACTAACGCAAGAGTCTGTTGATATCAACATTTGTGGTGTTATTCTTATGGATAATTTGAATTGTATTTAACTATAGTTAAGTTTTGTGTTGCACCTATGATGCATATGATTAGTTAAATTTAAGGGCTTTAAATTTCTGCAGTTGTGGCAGTGAAAAAATGTCTGCCACAGACACAAAAAATGAAACCCATTAATATAAAAAAAAAGAAAAAGAAAGAAAGCAACACACTATATACTACCGTTAGTACATAGTGTGTTGCAAAAAAACATTTCTACCATAACTACATAAATGTTTTATGTAAATTTAATTAGGTTTAAGGTGAATTAGATAAGCTTGATCTTATCCACTATAAAGAAAAAAAGACAAAACTTCAAGCTCAAAGATGGGATCCATCCACCGGAAGAATACAATTACAAGTATAAGGAAGAATATCATACCTATAAAGATTAGTATTTCAATCACTAACTCGTTATTAAACTTAAGTTGGATGAATTTAAATAATAAACAAAAATAATTAAAATACAAATAAAAATCAAGAACAAATTAAAAACAATAAAAAATGCAAAAAATAACGAAATTAAGATTAAATCAAGAGTTATCAAGCATGAATGGTTAGGGTTTCGACTTCCTACAATTTTCACTTTTGTAATTAATTTAAATTCACATCAATTCCCCTTTTGATATCACCAATCAATTCAACTCAAATAGTTAAAACATGATTTCTTGGTATTTTAACTCTTTACTCCCTTTCAAGAAACTGAATATCTTAGATCTATTAGAAGGATTTAACCATTATGAAGATTGCATATATTCATATGCCTATTACTAGAATCATACAATGATTTGGTGAAATTATTGTTGGGTTCGTGGCCTATGATGGACTCGAACCAAATTAAATGGGTGCCTTAATCTCTTGTTTATAAGAGATGCTTAGATGCTGAGCCGACAGAGAGCGAAAAAGAAGAAGAAGAAAAAGAGAGAGAAACGTGTAGGAGAAAAGCGCAAGTCAGAGACGAAGATTTACTGAGGAAGAAACCTAGCATCATCGCTGAAGATTTACAGAGAGAAATACTTGTGTGAGACACTTGTGAGTAAATCCATCCTTTAGAGGGTGAAGTCCTCTGGTTATTTAGCTATAGTGAATCTTGTGTAATCCCATTATTCATAGTGGACGTTTTTCTGGACTTGGTCTCGTGGTTTTTATTCTTCGCATCGAATAGGTTTTCTATATTAAAATTCTTGGTGTTCTCTTCTTCCATATCTCTATTTTTGATTTGTTGTTATTGTTCACTGTCGCTTTCGCAAGCCGACCTGTGAAGGCCGGGCAAACTAAATCTGAGGATTGTCAAACTCTGGGACATAACAATGGTATCAGAGCTCGTAGATCAAGGGCTCTGTGAGGTCAGAGATAGAGGGTGCTGTAGCACATGATGGTGACATGTTCGAACTCACCGCAGAGAACTACTCATATTGAAAACCCATGATGGAGGATCATCTTTATTGCAGGGGTTTATATAAGCTCATTCTAAGCACCGTCAAGCTAAAAGGGAAGAGTGATAAAGAGTGGGATCTCCATATTCGGAAGGCGATCGCTATGATCAGCAAATATATCGACAAAAGCTTGTTCGAGCATATGTCGACATACACAAACGCTCACAAGTTGTGCACATAGATGGGGTCTTTAATCAAGAAGAAAATTCCACGCAACAAAGCATACTTGGTGTACCGACTTGTGAAGCTAAACTACAAGGATGAACAAAGCATGATTGAGCACCTGAATAGATACAATGGATCGTCAATCAACTGACAAAGATTGACATGAAGATAGATGACAAGTTGCAAGCCCTCTTGCTACTCAGTTCGTTGCTTGAGAGCTAAGATACTTTGGTGGCGATGTTTAGGAACTCGGCCCCAAAAGGAAAGATGACATTGGACTCGGTTGTAGACAACCTGCTTAGTGAAGAAGCTAGGAGGAAAGAACGAGGTATAACCTAGCAGAATGAAGCAAATGTTGTTGAAAACCATGGAAGAACGGCACACCGAGGTCGAAGTAGAAGCCGAGGTCATGAAGCCGAGGCCAGATACTCTCACATATTTCTACTATGAAAAATGTGTCATTGAGCTCAGAATTGTCGAACTCCTAAATACAACAGTGGTATCAGAGTGATAAAATATGATAACCATAGTGCTATACACTTAGCGAAGAACTCAATGTTCTATGCACGGTTAAAGAACATAGACGTGCGATACCATTGGATTCGAGATGTGACAAAAGAGAAGTTTCTACATCTCGACAAAGTCCATACCGACTTGAACTGGTCGGATATGATGACCAAGACAGTTCCAGCATGAAAGTTTAAAGATCGTTGTGAAGGTGTTGGGTTGACTATCTCAGCCCCATACCCCGGATGAGGAGGAGCTCGGATATCCTCCCTCATGGGCATGGAGGGGGAGATTTGTTAGGTTCGTGGCCCATGAAGAACCCGACCCAAATTAAATAGGTGCCCTAATCTCTTGTTTATAAGAGATGCTTACATATTGAACCAACAGAGAGCAAAAAAGAAGAAGATGAAGATTCTCTGAGGAATAAACCTAGCATCATCGCTGAAGAAGAAGAATACCCTATAGAGTAGGATTTTATATCCCTTTTACAGAGAGAGACACTTGTGTGAGACACTTGTGTGTAGATCCATCCTTTAGAGGAAGAAGTCCTCTGGTTATTGAGCCATAGTGAGTCTTGTGTAATTCCATTATTCATAGTGGATATTTTTTCGGATTTGGTCTCGTGGTTTTTATTTTTCACATCGAAGAGGTTTTTCACGTTAAAATTCTTGGTGTTTTCTTCCTCCCTATCTCTATTTTTGATTTGTTGTTATTGTTCAATGTCACTTCCGCAAGTCGACCTGTGAAAGTCGGGCTAATTGAATATGAGGTTGAGCTAAGAATTTTCAGGCTGCGATACACATTAATTATTAGATCCAATTTATATACCAATATTCCTATTTTCATACATAAACCCTAGATCAATCCACAAGAGGGAAAATCATGGAAGCATCATCACGCACATGATAATTCATTCAATATTGAAAGGAAATATTGTATTGAAAAGATAAATCAAGTTATATCAAGATCCAATTGGGTTCCATTTAACCATAATACTAGAAAATTAGCCAGACATAACAAGATTGAAAGAAAAAAAATAGAAATGGCTTCCCGAAAGTCCATCAGAATCGTTAAAAGAGAATGTTGATCTCAATATTTCCAAACTTTGATCGCGCCTTTCCCCTCTTCGCTCATGAACCGATAAGTTGTGCTCTCCTCCAGAACCCTAGTTATGACTTCCTTGGTGAATTTTTTTTTAGAAAGTCATAAAGGTTGTATTTATAAAGATGTCAGTGCCTATGCACTGGCTGTTGGGCGAACAAGCGCTAGAATCGCAACATTGGACTTTTCTTTTTTTTTGGGCGCCTAGTTGCTAGCTCACAGGAGCTCAGCGCCGGCCTTCTTGAATGAGTTTTCACCACTCTTTTTTGGCTATCATGATGTTTGGAGCTCTATCTTTTCCCAATCATTTAGAACACAAAAAAAAAATACAAATTAGCTAAATTAAACATATAAAAAGATAATTAATAACAATTCATCTCATGACTTCAATATTAACAATTTAAAGCATTAAATTCTTTTTTTTTTTTCAAAAAAAAGAAGCATTAAATTCTGACTTTTGTCATTAATTTAGGAGTTTCAAGGCTGCATTTTACATTCAAAACATCATAAATTCAAGGTTTATCAACTCTAGTTAATTAAACTTGGAATTTTAGACTTTTTTTCTTTCAAAATAAGCTAGGTATGGTCTAGTTGTAGTCCAGATTGCTCATTAATTTACACCGAACTGAAGGTTATTTATCATAATTTTTCTCTTTAATTAGGAGTGCTTTTGAAAAAAGTATTTTTCCTAAGCTTATAATTATTACATGTACAGATATCAAAATGGGACATCTCGTCCCATTAAGCCCCGACTCGTGCATATTAGGGTCACAAAGCCCGCAAGACCATATAATTCTCAATAATAGATCTAGTCCGCAAGCCATTTAAAATTCTAGTTTCATAAAATTTTATTTTTTTATTATATTCAATACATGAAAAATTATTTTAACAAATGAATATTTGACATTTTCATAAAATATTTTATACAAATTATATATTTTTTATAATTTAATTTTTTAATAAAAGAATATTTGTACACAAATATATAAGTAAAATTATAAACAAAATTTTGATATAAGTGAAAATTTAAATTTACTCCCTTTACTAAATTATTTATTAAAGGATGTCATCAAATAAAGATTTTCTCACCAAGAGTTATAACAGAAACATTCCTACTAGCAACTCTAGTTGATAACCAAAACCAGCGATGGAAAAATGATCTTAATATGAAGATTGAACAACTGTTCTTAGTATGTTATATATTTGAAATATAAACCATTGATTTTCTTCAACTATTACTGTTACAAAAACCTTTTTATTTAGTATTATCCGAAAAATTACCAAGATGAATTGTATACAATATTCTTAAACGTCAATAGAAAATTTTATTTTTACTGATACATAGATGAAATTCTTTGTTCAAACATATCACTGCTAGAAATTTTATTTTTACTTATATTATATTTATAAATATTTAAATTTAATTTCTTTTTAAATAATAGTGGTATAAGAATAACAAATCTCGTACCAAATTTTAATCTTACATCTCATTTGACCCAATCATTAGTTATATTCATGCCCCTCATTAATAACCATTTTGCCCCTTATTACAAACTATCTACCAATCTGCCCTTTTTTAATCGATTAAATTGAATATTTAATCGATTAAACGGTCAAATGAAGATTTAATCGATTAAATCTTCAACTTAATCGATTAAATCTTTCTCTTTATCAGAAGAACAACATTATGCATGAGAGATTTAATCGATTAAATAGGGAGATTTAATAGACTAAATCTTCAAGTTAACGATTTTTGCCTATTTTGACCATTTAATCGATTAAATTTTTGGCTCAATCGATTAAAGAGGGGCAGATTGGTAGATAGTTCTGAATAAGGGACAAAATAGTTATTAAATAATTAATGAGGGGCAAAAAGGTAAGAAAGCCCATTTCCCTCATACAAATATATTAAATTAAACAGTTGATTTATTAGTTATCAAATTTGGCTGCTATAAAGTGCCATATGCTCATTGATTTTGTTCTGATCTATCTGCAACCTATATACTTGAAGGCTGAGAACGTGGGTGATGGTGCTTGAGGTTATGACATATCATTAACGTTCGGGCTAGTGTGCTGTGTGTATAATAATTTGAGTTCGTTATAGCACCTCATAAATAAGTTATATAGTAACAATTTTTTATATAGTAACAATTTTCTTTTATATATATATATATATATATATATATATATATATATATATATATATATATATATATATATATATATTGTTGAATATCAAGAACAATGAGATTTATAAGTAATCCGTGTGTCTCAACTACACAGCGGAGAGACTATTATATAACTCAAAAGAAAGAAAATACAAAGAGATATACATGATGTGAGACTTCTATACTACTATTCTAAACTATTATTTACAACGCTCCCCCTCAAGCTGGAGCATATAAATCATATGCACCAAAAGCTTGTTACATAAGTGATCTATCCTAGGCCCTCTCAAAGACTTATTTAAAACATCAGCTAATTGATCAGTTGAGTTAACAAAACTAGTGACTATATCTCCAGAGAGGACTTTTTCTCTAACAAAGTGACAGTCTATCTCAATGTGCTTGGTCCTTTCATGAAACACTAGATTGAAAGCAATATGTAAAGCAGCTTGATTATCGCGAATGAGAGATGTTGTGCCAATGTCTCCAAATTTGAGTTCCTTCAATAATTGTTTTAACCAGATAAGTTCACAGGTGGTTGTGGCCATGGAGCGATATTCTGCTTCAGCACTTGATCTGGCAACTACACTTTGTTTCTTGCTTTTCCAAGAAACCAAGTTACCTCCAAGGAATACACAATACCCAGATGTGGATCTTCTATCACTGGGGGAACCTGCCCAATCAGCATCTGAGTATCCCTCAACTCTGGTATGACCTTTGTTTGTATAGAGGAGACCTTTACCTGGAGCATTCTTGATGTACTTGAGGATACGGATCACTGCATTCCAATGATCTTCACGAGGAGAATTCAAGAACTGACTTACTACACTGACTGCAAATGAGATGTTTGGTCGAGTAACTGTAAGATAGTTCAGCTTCCCAACCAATCTTCAATACCTTTCTGGATCTGAAAATAGCTCCCCTTGATTTGGCATAAGCTTGACATTTGGATCCATGGGGGTATCGACGGGCTTAGCATTCAACAAAGTTGTCTCCTCTAGAATGTCCATAGCATATTTCCTCTGAGATATCACAATACCATCCTTGGATTGAGCCACTTCAATTCCCAAGAAATATCGTAGTCTTCCAAGATCCTTTGTCTGAAAGTGATGACTGAGATGTTGTTTTAACTGAGTAATGCCTTGATGGTCATCACCTGTAATGACAATGTCATCAACATATACCACCAAATAAATAGATCCAGAGTCTGAGTGGCGATAAAAGACTGAGTGATCAGCTGCACTCTGAGTCATACCAAACTGCTAGACAATGGTGCTAAACCTCTCAAACCAAGCTCATGGAGACTGTTTGAGACCAAACAAAGATTTGCGGAGTCGACAAACTAGATTGGACTCCCCCTGAGCAACAAATCCAGGAGGTTGCTCCATATAAACTTCTTCCCCAAGATCACCATTGAGGAAAGCATTTTTGACATCCAATTGATAAAGGGGCCAATGACGAATAACAGCCATAGTAATAAAGATGCGAACAGACGCCATTTTTGCCACAGGGGAAAATGTATCTCCATAATCTTCACCAAACACCTGAGTATATCCCTTGGCCACCAAACGTGCTTTGAGATGATCCACTTGTCCATCAGGACCAACCTTGACAGTAAATATCCATCTACATCCAACAACAGATTTTCCAGAGAGAAGAGGAACCAGATCCCAAGTACCACTGCCATGAAGTGCACACATCTCGTCAATCATAGCCTGTCGCCATCCGGGATGGGATAATGCCTCACTTGTAGTCTTAGGAACAGATACAGAAGACAAAGAAGAAAGACAAGCAAAAAGTGATGGAGAAAGGTGATGATAACTCATATTTATTGAATACCTGGGTGGAGGACGAATATTACGAGTACCTTTTCGGAGAGGAATGGGTAGGTCAATTTCAAAGGGCAGGACCGAAACCGCAGGAGTTGATGACGGCAGATATGAGTCCATAGGAACCTTATCAATGTCTTGGGGTATGGGTGGATGTGGCCGACGATGATAAACCTGGAGAGGAGGATCTGGTGCTGGGACATATGGAGAAGTGACAATAGGCGGTGGTGGTGTGGAATCTGGTGCAGGCAGTGGTGGTGTAGAATCTGGTGCCGGAACATATTGAATTGGAACAGAGAGTAAAGGTAACTGAGTATCAACAGAGTCATCGAGAACGGAGGTGGAGCCAAAAAATGGCACAGACTCAAAGAAAGTAACATCCGCCGAGACAAAAGAGCGATGGAGACTAGGAGAGTAACACCGATAACCTTTTTGTGTCCGGGTGTAACCGAGGAACACACATTTGTGGGATTTGGCAGACAACTTGTCACGATTGGGACCGAGTTCATGGACAAAACAAGTAGAACCAAAAATACGAAGGGGTAATGAATGTAAAGACTGATGAGGAAACAAGAAAGAATACGGTACCTGGTTACCAAGGACAGAAGAAGGCATGCGATTAATGAGATAGCATGCGGTGAGAACAACATCACCCCAAAAACTAGTAGGAACATTCCCATGAATTAAGAGTGTCCGAGTTGTTTCAATAAGATGACGATTTTTTTTCAGCAACCCCGTTTTGTTGGGGGGGTGTGCGCACATGATGTGTGGTGAAGAATGCCGTGAGATGCCATGAAAGATTGAAATGGTTGAGACAGATACTCACGAGCATTATCACTACGAAAAGTGCGGATAGGAATACCAAATTGAGTAAGAATTTCATGATAAAACTTCTGAAATATGGAGAACAACTCAGAGCGGCTTTTCAGTAAAAATAACCAAGTGTTTCGAGAATAATCGTCAATAAAGGTAACAAAATATCTATAACCCCAAGTTGATTCAGTACGACTGGGTCCCCAAACATCAAAGTGAACCAAACTAAAAGGAGAGGAGGCATGACGATTGACTCTATTAGGAAAAGAACTGCGAGTATGTTTCCCGAATTGACATGATTCACATTGAAAAGTAGAAAACTTGGACAAACGTGGCACCATCTTCTGGAGCTTTGTAAGACTAGGATGACCCAACTGAGTGTGAATAGTGAGTGGAGAATCTAATACAGAATAAACATGAGAGGAGCTGGAGAGCAGGTAAAGGCCATTGGACTCAAATCCGCTACCAATTGTTCTCCCCAAATTTCGATCCTATAAAACAATAGAATTTTGGGTAAAAGAAATGAGACAATCAAGAGAACGTATTAAACGGCTAATGGAAAGGAGATTAAAGGGTAAACCAGGGACATAGAGCACATTATCAATAGTAATGGAGGGAAATAGATGTACTGTTCCAATCCCATGAGACTGAGCCTGAGAACCATTAGCCATAGTGACAGCAGGCAAATAACCAGAGGTAGAAAGAGAGAAAAACAAAGATTTATTACCAGAAATATGATCAGAGGCACTAGAATCAAGAATCCAATGACCAAATGATGAACTTTGAGTGAAACCAGCAACGCTATTACCTGTATGCACAACAGTAGCAGTGGAACTAGTTATCGTGAGCCGAGAAATATCTTGAGGAAGGATAAATGAGCTAGAATCAGCCATGGATCAAGAACAATTCGTTGAATCGTGAATAGTAATGGAAAGAGGAGAAATGCTTCAGAAGGGCTGCAACGGACTCGAAACCACAAGGTAAGGATCGATCTGAACACAGAAGGAAAGGGTGATCCTAACGGTGGAAGCCGAGCGTATGTTTCATGCACGTGAGGGTGCTTCAGTTGGAATTTAGGAGCGGGCCTTGGACGGAAAGAACCGCCTCCTTGTGACGATCACAACTGTGGGTGGCTCGCCGGAAAAAGTGCCTGAAAAGTGATCGGTGGTGGCGGTCAACGGTGGTCAAACGGTGGTCCACAACACTGGCAACCTCTGATGACGGTGGGTCTTGTGGCGTTGGGTAGATCAGCTTCTTCTGAGTCCGTTGATGTACTTTTTGATCAAAACGATCGCCGAAAAACTTTTCCGGTGAAGGACGAAGGTGGCAGACGGTGGCCGGAAACTGACGATGGTGACAGTTTCCGGGAAGATTTTTACTCGATAGACAGTGGGTCTACCGGAAAGATGCGGATCTTGTTAGGCTCTGATACCATGTTGAATATCAAGAACAAGGAGATTTATTAGTAATTCGTGTGTCTCAACTACACAGCGAAAAGACTATTATATAACTCAAAAGAAAGAAAATACACAGGGATATACATGATGTGGGACTTCTATACTACTATTCTAAACTATTATTTACAATATATATATATAGGGTCAGGATCATTTTACACCAGTGTAAGTTACACTCTTAATTTTATTCGTTGATGTCACTTATATCGAAGGGCTCTAATTTTTTAGTAAACTGAGCCATTAGATACAAGTTGATCAATGGTCAAGATTGAGTGTAAGACTTCTAACTTTTACACCGGTGTAAGAATATCATGCCCCATATATATATATATATATATATGAGGTAGGATCCTTTGACACCAGTGTCAAATTTGAAATTTGACACCTTATCTGAGAGCCATTGGAACAAAAAAGATCAACGACTCTGATTTGTAAGCATGTGACACAATTGATCTTTTTTTATCTAATGGCTCTCAGATGAGGTGTCAAATTTCAAATTTGACACTGGTGTCAAAGAATCCTACCTCTATATATATATATAAAAATTTTGTTTGGACTGGGAGTATCATAGAGAAGATGGTGTTGGTTGCAACAATGCTTTTAGCTAAAGTGGAGTTATATCAATATATCGATCTATTGGTGATATAGCTTATCTGGCCGTTAGACGTTTTAAGATATGAATTATCGACACTTCAAAAATCTTGACGTGTCGTGTCCGACACTTTTCGACATTCACCGACACTTCCCGATACTTCAATTCTCGTTGCAAAGACTCAAAAAAGGTCCAATGGTTACATTGAGTTGCATTTTGAGTTCCAACTATTAGATTCGTTAGATTACTATTACGATTTTATTGAGTTTAATTTAAACATTTGGGATATATTATGTTTCTTTGCAAAATTGATGGGTATTATAAGTTTAACTTTATTTTTTTGTTACATTATTGAATACTAAATATAATATACACTACATAAATTAAAAATATTATATAATATCAAAATGTGTCCTAACGTGTCAAAATTTGACATTTTTTAGAATTAACGTGTCGAAATCCCGTGTCTTATCCTGTGTCGATGCAATATAGGTTTTAAGTGCAAATATGTTGGTCCTATTAGTCTTCCTTCTTATCTTTTATTATTTTATAAAATGGTGACACTGACGTTAGAAGCTATAACTTCATGTAGATTATCAAAATCTCTCACCACTAAGCATATTTGATCATCTCTTTTTTAAGTTAAAAGCTACTTATAAATTAAGTGACTGTTTGGATCATCTTTTTTTAAACTAGAAGCTACTTATAAGCATAAGCTAGGCCAAACAGGTTTTGAAAAAAACTCTTATAATAAAAAGCTCTTTTTTATAAAGAAGAAAAAAGCTGAAAACTAAGTGCCTGTTTGGATCCTCTCTTTTTTAAGCTAGAAGCTACTTATAAGCATAAGCTAGGCCAAACAGGTTTTGAGAAAAGCTCTTATAAGAAAAAAGCTGAAAACTAAAAGCTCCTAGGAGGAGCTTTTTTTTAAGCTCTTATATGTTTTTCTTGAATTGTGTGTTTTTTTTTAAATGAAGAGTGATAAAGATAGAGAGAGATAATTTTCTTGAAATATGTGCTTTTAAGTAATTTTTAAGCTAAGTTTTTTATGTAATTTCCAAACAACTTTTAGCTTCTTTTTTTAAGCTCTTTTTTTTAGCTTTAGCTTATAAGTAGTTTCTAGCTTAAAAATAAGAGGGTCTAAACAGGCTCTAAAAGCTCCTAAGAGGATTTTTTTTTAAGCTCTTATTTGTTTTTTTTGAATTGTGTGTTTTTTTTTTTAAATGAAGAGTGGTAAAGATAGAGAGAGAGAGATAATTTTCTTGAAATATGTGCTTTTAAGTAATTTTTAAGCTAAAATTTTTATGTAATTTCCAAACAGTTTTTAGCTTTTTTTTTAGCTTTAGCTTATAAGTAACTTATAACTTAAAAATAAGAGGATCCAAACAGGTTCAAAGCTAAAAAAAAAAAAGCTTATAAAAAAGCTAAAAATTGTTTGATAATTACATAAAAATTTTAACTTAAAAACACATATTTCAAGAAAACTATCTCTCTGTGTCTCTATAGCTCTTTATTTAAAAAAAAAAAACACACAATTCAAGAAAAGCATATAAGTGCTTAAAAAAACTCCTCCTAGGAGCTTTTTATCTTTTAGCTCTTTTTTTATTGTAAAAAAAAAAATTTCATTATAAGAGCTTTTCTCAAAATCTATTTGGCTTAACTTATACTTATAAGTAGCTTCTAGCTTAAAAAGAGAGAGGATCCAAACAGACACTAATGCTAGTGACTTCTTTCTTCTTATTTTAAAAGTAATAAGAGTAAAAGTTAACCTACTATAAGTTGAGTTTAAAATGAATCAATTTGGCTTGACTCATTAGTGAGCCAAAAATCTTTCCAAATAAAACCATGCAACCTTAACTAAGGTACTAGAATGGTACCACCATTGGTCATTATGGGTCCATGAATCTGAGGTGGAAACTCCATCAATGATAGCTAGAAAATGACATCAACAAGACTTCAACACAAAAGATAAAGCAGTTATTGCACCCCACTCCATCTAGCCCAGTCAACAAACTGCATGCCACCATACACATTGTTGGCAAAACGCACACCAACTGTGAAAGCCAGAGCAACTGGGGGAACTTGCTTTGCCAGTGGTGATGCTTCTACCAAACGTTCCAGTCCATTGATGATCTGGTATCGCGTGTTAGAAGAAACAGCAAGAAATACACCTGCATGGATGTTCATGGAGACAGCAAACATGTTACATACATGAATAAAATACACCAAGTCAAGTTTATCTAAGATCAAGCAATGCTAAAAATAGTAGTAAATCTGAAAACACCAAATCAAGCATAAAAGAAATCTTGGCGATCCACATTGCACATGAATTCAACCAATATCAAGTGGTACAAAGAGAATCTCTTTGGTTTTTGGCAACGTATAGTTAACGCGTGGCTACAACTTGTATTTCGAAAACATAAAATAAACTTTGGGAAAAATATTTCTACTTTTGTTGCAAAAAAAATTTCTCTCTCACACTCAACATAGAAGTGAGTTCCACAGGAAAAAATTTGGCAGAGACAAAATTTCTACAATAAAAGTAGAAATTTTAAACACATAAACCTTTTAGTTGTCCTAATATGGCTACAATTTATCATCTAATGATATGATTATTGACAATCAAAAGCATCACATTTGACCTGATAACTCTACTCATAGGTATCAAATTGATAAGGGCTTAAAATTAAGACTTTCCTAATAACTCAATGAAAACAAAGGTTGCTGTTTTCTCGCTGTATAGAAGAGATGAGCTAGAACTTATGTAATAATTTATATAATAGACAATTTCATACCCCAAAGTGCAGCACTTTTAACAAGAGGTGGCACAGGTATGTCCTCTTCTGAGTTCTTTATGCTCCTGGTATAAAGCAAAAACAGGTGAGAAATTTATCACTCCAAAAAATATGAATTCATATACTGCAAACACCATAAATATCGTTCAGTATTAACACTGTTTATTTATTAGAGTTAACTTAGATATACTGATAAAGTATATCAGTAAACCATATGCTGCCACCTGTTTAAAAATATTCTCCTAAAACTTTTTACGTAAAGTGAAAAACCTTAGTTTCTGAAATGATGTGGCACTTTCTAGTTTCTAATTTATTGGTTTCATAGAGTTTTACATGGACAGTGGATCAATTTAAACTCACATTCACATCAATTTAGTCTTCGAAAGCTCATAATAGATTCCAAATAAATGCTAAAAAATATATGCACACACTTATTACCAAAATAATCCCAATGCTTGTTTAAGTTTCAGTCAAATTTTTATTTACTATGGAATCATCATTGTATTAGAAGATCCACAAGGCCAATTGTCAAATATATGAGTTAAAAAGGCCATAACGGGTATGAAGGAAGCGGGCAGGCTGTTTGACAGGGAAAGTTACCTTTGTGTCTAGAACCATGCAAAGTATGAAAAATGAACTCTAGACAAGAAACCATACCGCTTTGCAGTCATGATCAAATTTGCAATGCCTTGGCCTATAATGCCACATGCAAATCCAACAGCTCCATACATTATACCCTGAAATTTGAAACATGCATTAAAAATGAACAGTCAATAGAAATTTCGCATAATTTCTTTGCAGTCATTACCTTGTAGAAGTATGTTCCCAGTCTCTGCTGTACAGAAAATCTACATCCTGGCCTTTCTGCTTCAAATACACTGCATAAAGTGAGCAGAATAGAAACTTAGACAAAAGCTTCTACACACTCTAAAAGACACAAAAGCAATTAAGAGATGAGAAACCTGACTTCCATGTCTTCTTTAGATGGAGAATTGTTATATATTATACACATAGGAAACATATAGAAGAAAAATTGACATGAAAAACAAGGCCATGTTAATGGCATGATGAGTAACCTGCTAGGCAAAGACGCATAACCTTTCTGCATTCTACCAAAGAACCCCCTAGATATTGATGGTTTGCCAATTCGAGCGTACGGTGCCAACATGCCTACTAAAGCAACATTAACAACCAACCCAACAAGAAGATCTGCAACATACAACTCAAATTCGGCCCAAAAGTCTTTGCCTCTCTTTTGAACTTCAGCAAAGGTAGCACAACAAGAATCAATGACAATCTGCAAATTGTAAGAAAGAAAAATTAAATATCTTTCATATGTCCCAAATTTCCCAACTCTGCCAACATTACATGAATGATTTTCACAGATAGCACACTGCAATCTTAATTCTTGACTACTGCCAGTTGTGGCAAATAAGATATGAGGGATACATCACAATATTTTTTAGCATATAGATACCTTGTTAACATGGCAAACTATTTTGGTAGCTTAATTTCTAGAGTTCAACATAAGCTGAGCAGACCAAGTAGGAGTCAACTATGTCCTAGCTTCTCAATTAAACAGAACAGGTTAAAATATGATAATTGTCAACAGTGAACACTTAATGTCATATGTTATAGAACAGTCAAATAATTGGATACCTCAAGACACATTAAATAATATGAACAACAGGAATTAAGATTACTATAAGACAAGCCCAACCAACCTCTGAGCCAATTTTGAAAAGAAACGTTGGATCAGCCAGCATTCGATTGCGAAGGATTGAGCATGATTTCACAGCAAATCCTAGTGGCCAAAAAGATCCCTGCAATTTAAATATCATAAATAACTACATTAAAGTCCAAGGTAATGTCATGTTGTTTTACAAAAGAGTTGGTGCTTATAATCCATTACAATTACATAATCACTACTTTGAAGGAAAGGAGAAAGAAATGCATAGACATTTAGAAACTATACCTGCAAATCCAAATATCTATGAAGAAGCACCTTGCGGATTCCCACACTCTTAGCAGCCTCCAACATATCTAAAGGAAGGGTAGCCCCACGAGCTTCTGTCTCTCTCATTACCTCATCATATTTCAGTATTGGCCCAAATTCTTCCCCTTCTTTGTCATTACCATCATCATCACCATCACCACCACCGCCACCGCCACTACGATCTCCTGCTCCACCACTTCCAAAGCTCCCATTGCCACCACTACCATGAAATTCAACTCCACTATCATCATTTTTATCAGTATTGGGGTCTGACTCACTATCCCATATTTTGTGGTCCTTGCTCAGGACACTATCACCTCCCACTTCCGAAAATTCTATTGTAGTTACAGCAGATTGCGATTCATCTGGCGGTTGCGACATACTCATTATAAAAAATGTTCCTTTCTTTTGAATAGACACATCTGATCTATCCCACTTGCTATCACAAAAGACTGGAAATGCAACCTCCTTCAACACACCCCTGAAACTCAACCTATTCAAACTTGAATCTTGATTTCCCAGCTTCCTCAAAAGAGCTTCTTTCCTTAAATTAACAACACGAGCGAACCCAAAATTTGATGAACAACCCGCCATTATCCTAAAAAATTGCAACTTCTCTCACCACAAAACTACACTGAAAAGTCGACGAATTCTTAGTTTCCACTGAGTAACCAACCACAGGAAACTATCAGCAACTCAAACCAAAGAGATCACACCCCAAATTTGCAGGAGAAACATAGAATCAAACAAAACAATCACTGAACCAAACAAATGTATACTGCTGGGAATGTTGTTAAAATCAACTACAACTCTCAAGCATACCAAATTTTAGACATGAAAGTTCACTGAAAGGCAGAAAGTAAAACAGATTAGAAAATGAAGGAAAAATGCAAAATGATATTGAAAACAAGAAGGGTAAGATATCTACCTTGTTAGGGATAACATAACACAGTAAGTGAGTAGATGCGGCGAATAGAGGGTAACTGCTTTGGCTTTTGTGGTTCCCCTGCTTGTACTGTTGTTGTAGTTTGAGATATAATAATACCTTTGAGATACATCCTACAGCAATAATTGATAACACGTGACATTGCACGTGGGGTATCTATCAAACGCGTGGGTCGCATGAAATATTTATTAATAAGGTTGTTTGACTGAGTTTAAAAAAAAAAAGAGAAAAAACAAAGAATGAAAAAAGAAGAAAGAAATAAACAATTTTTCTTTTTTACAAAGAAATGAACAATTCATTTGATTATTTTTTTCTTAAAATTTATTTTTAATATATATTTTAAAATTTATTTTAAAATTATTAGAACAATTAAATTTATTTGAATATAATTAAATTTTAAATAATACAGAAGTAATATTAATTTATAAAAATATAAATAATAAATTTTCTAATTATAAGAAAACTTTTTTAATATAATTTAAAATAATAAAGAAGTTATATTTATTTATAAAAATGTCACTAATGAATACTATAATTATAAATTATTACTGTAAAGTTATTTAAAACTAAAAAGAAAATAATTCATTTATAAAAAATTTATTAATGAATTTTCGTAATTATAAATTATTATTGAAAAATAAACAAAACTAAAAAATAATTTTTGAGAATATCCTTAAGTTATTCTTCGTTTTAAGTTTTTAAAATTAAAAGATGGTTATTAGTTTTTAGAGTTAATTTTTCAAAGATAAATTTTTCCAAATAAATTTTTTGTTTTTTGTTTTAAAATTTTAATAACTATCTTTAAGAATAGAAATAAAACTTACCCGAAATTGCATTTGATTGGATGATCATGATTTAACGAAAAGGAACACCTGAAGTATATAATTCATGTAAATTAATAATAACTATTTTCGTAATAGCAATCATCATTTCTAATTGATTATTTTGAATAATGAATTATTCCTCTTGGTTAATTTTGTATTATTATCGATTAATCCTGTCAATTAATCTTATTGTTTTCAAATAACAGGATTTTTTTTTTTATATTTTTGGTATTTAAGGAGGGCTAAAGGCCCAAAAGAAAGACAAACAATTACAAAGCCGAAAGGCAGAAACAGAAAATGACAACAAACGAAAATTAGAAACTGAAACAAAAAAAAAAAAAAAAAAAACTTGGACGACTATAGATTTCAGCTTCACAGTAGGGGAAATATCTTCGGTACTATAGGAGTACTGAAGACTCAGTGTATCATTTACTCAATTTGAAAAATATAATATATTTTTGTTACCATTTTACCCTTCCTTGTATGGTTATTTTCCCCAAAACCATCATCATTTTCTACTTTTAGTAAAATAGTACATACTCCAGTAGTATCAAAGATGTGCTCCACGGTAGGAGTGGGCGATTAGCTTCACGGTAGGAGTGAGTGAATTGCACCATCTGGTTCTTATTATTTCACTCCATAATTATTTTCATCAATTGAGGCTGGTGATACTCGTTACAGGGCTAGTAAGAGAAGAAATCGCTTGTGATGATGAGTAACTCTATGATCATATGTCTAAGACTCGTATTCCATGCGACTAATTTCTCACTTAAAACTAATTATTTAACTCTATGAGTTAAAACTTTTTCACTTCGAGGGGAGAATTCCTCCTTAACCAACAGATTCTGAAAATACTTCTTCGTTAATTTTGATAGAGAAATTACAGTCTTATATAGCCATACTCTCCCTCCTAAAATAGAAAAATGCTCACAAGGCAAATACACATTTTGCATCACACACTCACACAATAGAATCTAACAATAAAATCCTGTTACCTATCAATTATAACAACCATATAAGCTATAACAACCTTCCAAGTCACTCCCTAATTTCTCTCACTTGACTAACAACATACTAATTACCCATATGTATCAGTAACTCTCTATGATCATAAGTCTAGACCCGTATTCCACGTGACTATCATCCCCTTCATCTGTCTCAAGCAGTCTTGTGCTACCCAAGTTAAGAAGAATATCCTCTCCCTTAACCCATTTATTCGCCCAAAAATGGATGGTTTCACCATTCCCAATATTCCACACTAGCCCTTTGAAGGAAGGTAGTCCAACCCTGGTACAAGCACTTCCACAAAAGGGGTCGCCTTACTTCTCATTGACCTGCCTTCTCAAATCCTATCCATGACCATACTTTCCTATTAGGACCTGGAACCACAGATCATCTTGTCTCATTATTATCAGCCATGAAAGCTTGTGAAGGAAAGCTTCATTTTGTTTGCAGAGATTAATGATTCTAGACCACCTATGCTCTTTGGTTTGTACATTTGATCCCATGCGACTAGATGGGCATGTATGTGGTTATCTCCCTCTCCTAAAATAAAAAGCCTCTAAAGTTTTTCAATTTCATCACACAGTATAACAACCCTAAATATTGTATCATGATTAATGAAGAATTATGATGATTAATAAACGAGACATTTCAGATGAAATAGTTTATGATTAAGTAAATTAGAAGTATGGGTCCAATGGACCAAAGACATAAGCATTAGGGATCCAATGAATTCATGGATCAAAGTATAACCCAACAAAGGAATTTAAAGTGTCATAAAATCATGGAAAAATAGGCACAAATTAGGTCAGGTTAATAGGTTAAAGGTCCATAATCTTAAGGAATAAATCATGGTCCAAAATTAAAGGAAATCTTTTCCTTCCAAGCATTTAAAATCCGCGGCCTAGGTGTAGGAAATGAATTTGATTTTATTTGATTTTCAAGCCATTAAATGCAAATCGAATTTCCTTAAGTCAAGCCAGTCAAATTCCTTTAAACAAGGAAGTTAGGATTATGATGATTAGTAGTCAATCACTTTCCCTAAATCAAGCAAATTGATGACAATATGTCAATCAATCAAATAATTCTGTTTCTAATCAAGGAAGCAACCTTTATGACGATTAGTCACACCTCATCAATCCCTTAAATCAAGGGAGCAACTTTTAATGACGATTAGTCACACATCATCAATTCCTTAAATCAAGCAATCACTAAATTTCCTTAATCAAGGAAATTGACATCATGTTCTTGTCCCTAAATTAAGCAATCTAACCTATGACAACAAATCACCACCTTACTCTCATTTAATGTGATCGAAACCTACCAGCAATCAAGTAATGGCAAGGCTTCTAGGTTGCCTATTTGAACAAGCTTTAGTCTCTCCTTTTTCCCTCTATAGCCGCGGCACTACCAAAGGAAAGAACAAAGAGTTTAGTTCATTTTGTGAAGTCCATGAATGCTTCGAAATGGTGAGTGTGTTAGTGAGAAATACCTAATTGTTCCAAGATCAAATACAAGCCTGGATCTTAGTCCTTCTTCCTAATAATTCCACCAAAGAACCCTTCATCTCTAAGCAAGAAAATCCCTCTTCTCCTCTCTTTAAGCTTGCGGCCTTGTATGTTCAAGGAGGAAGGAAGTTCATTCAAGAAGATTCAAAGTAGTCAAAGGTCAAGAAGTGTTTCCTTAAGTCGTTGATCATCATCAAAGGTAAGCCTATGAACCTTCTTGGTTAGGAATGACATGTAAAAGCATGAAAGTGATATCCTAAGTATATGATCCCTAGAAGGCCGAACCATGTATGATAATTATAAGCATGAAGAGATGTTTAAATGATATGAAAGATGATGAAATGATGATGTTAGATTAGCATGTTTAGTAGCCTAGGTTCTAAATCAATTTTGCATGATCATAACCTTAGTTGGCCGAATATATAAGATGATGTTTTGAATGATGCTCTAGGATTTAAATATGATAAATTATCAATAATGTTAGAAGCATGTTTTAGAAGTAATCCCTTAGGTATTTTAGGGCAATAAGGCCGAATGGTATGTAGCTAAAAGAGGTTTTATTTGATTAATGTTGAAAGGATCTAACATGTTAAGTTAATAATATAATTGAAAGCATGTTTTAAAAATTATATTCCTAGATGTTTATCTATGGTGGCCGAACCTATACATGCCTAGAATGAAATCTTTAATAATTCTATTAAGTGTTATGATGACCTAATAATGTCCTAAAACCTACACAAGTGGGTAAGTAAGCAAAACAACTCCTCTAGGTAATTAAACCTGCAAAGCCGAGACCTATACATGGATAAAACACAAATGTTGAATGTTATATAAGTTACTAAAAGATGATATGATGATGTTAGGGAGTCAAGGGAGCAAACAGGCAAGTAAAGAGATCAAAAGTTGAAAGTATACAAGTAAAGAACGACAAGTACTGTAAGTGTTTACAGTTGTTGAAGTAATCTCTCTATGTATGCCACCATTATGAAACTATGATAAGTTATGGTCTGACTGCAATATGTTTATAGTGCTTTACATTATGTGATTATGATATTTTTGAAACTTAAAACCATGCTATTAAATGTTGGCCTGTGCACTGATACTCCAGTTGCAACCTGACGAGGACTCTGGGTATCTCCGTAAGTCCGTAAAAGCCGGCAGGAATATGATGATGATGATGATGGCATGATATTTTTATATGATGATGTTAAATGTTCCATTTTGTATTGTTATTATAAACTGTTGCAGGAGTAAGCGTCATAGTTGGAGAATGCTCCAGCTGTGAACCTTACTGAGATTTTCCCCAAAATCTCACCCCCCTTGACCACCCATTTCAGGAAAAGATGAAAGAAAGTAATAAGAAAGTTATGTGGGAAAGAAAGGGTAAGAGACTGGTACGTAAAGAAGAAGAAACTCCACCTACCTGGGAAGAGAAACTAAAGGATCTAACAGATAGAGGCCTATGGACTGAGGCTATGAAATTATTAATAGAAGCTTTTCCACATTATGATTTCGATGAAGCACTAAGTACACAATGGCTAGAGGAACCACAACCACATTATGACTGGGCTTATGATGCGGCATAAATTATGTTTTTATTTATGATTAGTTAATCTTTTTGGGATTACATTAAATAATGTTTAGTGTTATTTATTTTGTATTGACGTTTTAACGCTTTTAATTTTATATGGAATAAGTATGGTTATGTGTTTCCATTCC